TTAATTCAGGTATCTAGGTCAGCCTAAATAAAATTTAAAAGCTCGAGGGGTTAGGGTTAAATTTAGCTATATGAATTTTTTTATATATTATAATATTTTAAATTTGATTCGAATAAGCTCAACTTGATTGAATTACCGGCTCTAAATATCATTATGAAAAATACTTTCTGAACTTGGTGAAGGAGATGAACTAGAAGAAGCCTTAGACCAACAAAGAAAACTAGTGGGTAAAGTGGTGGAAGCAGGGGCTAAGCATCGGTGTAATCATCTTGCCCTGCTACTGTCCAATAACAATCTCAAGGCAAAATAGCTTCCACGCAAATCCAAGAACACTCAAAAACTACAACCCAGTAAACTTAAGAACACTCACAAACCCAATGAATTGCAAGGCTGGGTATGAAAACAAATGCCAAAATCAAACAAAATAAAAGAGTTGAAATCCATCACCATACGAAATAGAGTAGGCAATAAAGAGAACAAATCAAACCTTTAACAAAGGCTAGGAGGAGGCAGGAGGGACCGATTAGGTCAATGCAAACAAAAGAGACGGAGAAGATAAGTGACGGTCGAGGAAAGAGACGCACTGGGGAAGAAAACGCTCTGAGAAAGGATTACTTTTGTCCTCTAAAAATTATTGTGAAAATAATCGTGTTTCTTTTTAGTTTCTCTCTCATCTATTGAAGGACTTAGCTTATTTAAGAAGCTACTCAGACTAGGTTCTTCAAATAATTAGATATTTGATTTTTTTAAAAAAATTCTGATTTTTTTAAGTACAATTTAAACTTTGTCTAAAGTGATGTTTCTTTTTTTTTTTAAAGTTCTTTTTTCAATTAAAAAAAATAAGCCAAAACAAACGGCCCCCTAATCCAATGCCTTTTTGCTTTTTCTGATGTCATTCTCCCTCTCACTCGTGCGCAACAATCATTTTAAGGAAGCGGACTCATTTTCCTATTTTTAATTAGACAAAATATTTCATCAAACATTTTTTTTTTCAGGTCAGCAATTTTTCTTCCTAGTCATCTAATTATGTGCCCAACGATGTTAAATCCCCTCAATAAAAGTAACGTCATTTGGGTCATCTCACGATGATTCTGAATATTTTTCAAAATACAAAGACTAACAATTTAGATGAAACAAATAAAAGGGATGAGAAATTATATATAAAAATAAGTTGTAAGGGCTAAAAACAAAATACAGTTAAAATATAAGGATTGGAATTGATATTTAATTTTTCCCATTATAAAAACACGCTTTCCCGCAAAGGTTTTGTTTGAAGGCTTATAATTAAAGAATGAATAGAACCCCACAAAAGAAATGAAAATCATAATTCTAAATAATGAAGAAATAATATTATGCAGGCAAAATTCACAATAACAAATCATCAATGCTTCAACATAAAGTCAAGTGAGAAATGAACCAATAAGGGACTTAATGAAACACCATGCTTTAAAAAAAAAAAAGAAAAAAGTAAACGTAAGTGCTTGCCTGAATTATTAGCTTCTGCAAAAACAACCTGTGTAGAGTGGCTAACGAGGATGAAGGAAACAAACACGTAAAAAACTCCGATCCACATTGATGTTCTCTTCATCATGTTTACGGGCAATGGGTAGCTCTGCTTTCAGAAGTAGCAAACGAACGAATATAAATAATATCATTTTATAACCCAAAAGAAATAACGTATTGTTCACGTGTAATGTAATAAAAGTACAACGATTTATTTTTGACTGGACTTGGTCAAGTGCATAATGGGAACAGGGCGCACTTTTAGAGGCCTGATTGGTGGCCAAGAAAAAAAAAAAAAATTCAACTGACGGGGTTTGGATTCGGATTTATCCAAAGAAGTTAGTCCCTCGTCAAAAATATTCATCAATGTTTTTTTTTAAATGTCATTAATAAGTAAATTATTTTCTATTTATTTTTAAATAAAACACTCTACTAAATAAAAGTAAATATAAAAAGATGATACTATTCTGAAAACATATAACTAATTTATTGGGAATTTGATTCAAAATGTGTTACAGTTTTAATGATTGGAGTATAATTGTTCAATGAACTAACAATATCTATTATTTTATTTGGCATGTTAATAGAACATAAATAAAATATCAGGTAATATGTTAATAATATAATATTAAATTATGTGTGAAAAATGTAAAGGAACTACTAGAAAAAAAAATTATTATGATGGTGTGGGAGATTAGAACTTCTCATATTTGTCGCCCTAAAAAAAACATTCTCATACATGGTACATGGGGGATATATTAAAGGACCCAAGGGGCAAGGCCTCCACTGATCCACCCTTATTTTTCATGATGTGATAAATTAAAGTTTGAATTCTCATTAGGAGAAATACCTATATTTAGTGCCATTTCAAATATAATTGTTTTTAATAAAATAATGCTTAAAAGAGACAAAGAAAAGGGGGAAATGACTTAAATTATTAGTGATTTTAATTATATTAGAAAAATTAATACCACCATCAGATTTAATCTTGATAATGTAAATCCATATTAGAGGATTTGAATCGTGGTTACTTATCACTAGATATTTATTCCCTCTGGTTGTATTCACAGGGTATTCTCAGAAAAAAAAATTTCATTTTTCATACAAGCCATTTTACAAAATGTTTGATGAAGCATGTTTGGATATATTTTTTTTAATATACCATTCATAATTACAAGTACTATGTAATTAGACTTCTTGAAATGTGATATTTTTTAAAAAACAAATCAAGATAATAAATTAATTTTTAAAATCAATGTGATATTATTAAAAATATCTCATAATTCAAATTGGATTGGAGGGAGTCATGTTAATTATTACAAATTATATTACACCAATTTTTCAAATTGAATTGATCAACTCAACCAACTGTGCTCATGACAACTAATTGACTAGATAGCCACTTTACTACGACTTACGACGTTGCTTCCTCTTTTATGACTTTCTGCCGGGTTGAATGGCTGAGCATTTTTTTTTCCCCTTCCAGCGGTGAAAGATGCTATAAAGTTTCTTAAATTTATTTCAATTATTAATTTTGCTTGTTTAAATTTAATTTTTTTAATTTAGTTCTTTATATTTTCTTAAATCATTGCATTTTTTAAAACTCAAATTGACTCTCAAATGAATTTATTATATAAAATATATTGATAACTTGATATGCGTATGTTAAATGAGAATAAATTATCCCTCAAATTTATTTAATTTTTATCAATTTAATCTCTTATAATGCTTTTTATTCTCTGTTTTTTTTAATTTCAAAGTTTGTTTGTTTTCTACCTTGATAATTATATTTTTTTTAATTAATCTACGTGGTTGCTATTAATATTCCATTATTCAGCTATGTCCACAGATTTTAATATTATTATCTTCTCTTTAAATGATAAAGATCAAATTAATAATTAAAACAAACATAAAAAACTAAATCAATAAAAATTGAATTTGAGAGAGACCAAATGGATAGTTAAGAGGGGTTAAAAATTCCATTATCCTTTCCTTAAAATCAAGGGGAATTTGGGAAGAAGGACAATGAAATTAAATTATTTGAGAAAAAGGACTGAGGTCCTTCAAGTGAATTAAGATGAGTAAATTAAAGTTATAACCTTAATTTACTTGAAGGATCGTAAGATGAGTAAATTAAAGTTATAACCTCAATTTACTTGAAGGATCTTGATCCTTCAAGTGAAAATTGAGAAGAAGGACAATGAAGTTAAATTATTTGTGCAAAAGTATTAAGGTCCTTCAAGTGAATTAAGGTTGAGTAAATTCAACTTATGACCTTAATTTACTTTGAAGGATCTTGATCCTGTTTCTCAAATAATTTGACTTCATGGTGGTCGTCTTCTTGTCTTCCAAATGTCCCTAAAATCGCCAAGCACGCGTAGAAATTAAAGTTGAAAATCTATCGATGCTGCGCCAAAATAGGTGATTTAAAAAAAAGAAAAGAAAAAAAAAGAAGAGAGAGAGTAGTGTTTCATTTCTTTTCTCTAATTTAATAATAGTATTAATTTATGAGAGACAATTTAAAAAAATGTAAAAAATATATATTGAAATTTGTAGTTTTGCTTTAATAAAAAAACAATGAAGCATATGATAGTTTTTCTTATACTCCATCTAATCCAAAATATAAACACCTTTCAACAAATAATTTGTATATATGTAAAATTCTTATTCTCATGAAAATATACATTGTTTTCTCTATTTACCCTTAATCTCAATTATCAATAATGAGTAAAAAAATTTCATAAATTCTCACAAGAATTGAGATTAATAAATACAATAGGTAAAATGAAGAGAATTTCTACAACTATACCAAATTGCTTATATTTGAAATAAAAATTAACTAAAAAATCTTTTGTTTTAGACCCAAAAAAGTAATAAAGAACGGAGGGAGTTCGTTGCAGTAGGTCCGGTCACCCACGCGTCAATGCTTCCATCGTTTACTTGGACCAAGCCAACCCATATGGTTGTTACCATAAAGATGACAACCAAGGCAAGTCCACTAGCTTTTACTCCAAAGAATCATTGTCAATGCCGTAAGAGAAAAACGCTTAGGCAATAGGAGAATTTGAGAATGCATGAGAGTTCAGACTTGAAAATCCCCGCGCGAAACCATTCCCATAAGTAATTAAATTTGAAATAATGAAATTTTCTTAAGACAAGTAGAGTTAAGAAACAGATGGGCTTGGCTCATGGGCTAGATCCTATGGTCCGAGCCTTAAAGTCTAATTTTTTTAAAATTATTTATTTTTTGAGACATAGTCCTTATTTAAAAGGTTTAAGATTGGACCCGTAAGCATGTTTTAAAAAATAAAATAAACTCTTATTTTATTTTGCAGGATAAACTTGCATATAACTCAACAATAATCTAATTGCAAACTAACATATTAATTAGCTAGATTAATCAAATAAAAACATCAATGAAATTTGGAAAAGAGAACAAGACAAAGGGCCAGAAGGGAAATTAAATCAAGGGATCTTAAACAACTGAGCCATCTATGTTAGATGAGAATAATCGACCAAATGCCATAACCCTTGAACCCTGGGCACCAATGTGAGGATACTCTTGCACTAGGATCCCCATGAAAAGTCACCTTGTGTGAAGCTAAACACATCAAGAACTTAATTAAACTAAACTAATAACAATAATTAAATTAAGAACTCTTAAACTAATAAACAGAATATGGGACTAAGAAGAAACTACTCTACCAACTAACAACGCCAGTCAACAGAGTTGGAGGAGGCAAGCAAAATCTCCAAGGAGCCATTTGCATGGGCGGTGGCAACCTGCAAACCATTTATGCTATTGCCTAAAGACACTACTAGAGAAAGCCTGCAATCTTTTGAACTAATTTTACAGAGTTTTCTCATTCTATAAATAGAAAACAAATCAAAGTCACAAAGAGTACAAAGATTTCTTAGTTGAAAGGAGCACTTGAAGCCTGAGAGAAAGAGATTGAGTGAGAGTGATATTGAGAGGGAGAGGGAGAGGAGAGGATCGAGTTTGAGGGCATGACTGTGTTTGCATCAACTCATGTGTGAGGGAATGGGTGTGACTAAGTGAGCAAGAATCATTTCGGTTCTATAAGAAGTATGTAACATCTTAACATTTAATTTCTAAATTAAAAGAATTAATTAAGGGTAAATAGGCAATTTTGAGTGTAAATTAAATTGAGGATGGTTAAATAGGGATAATTGGGCATATTGGGTTTTGATTATAGTTTTTGAATCGGGCTTGGAAGTGTATTAGGACATCTAGGACCAACTATTGGAACAGAAATCAACTAGCCTTCTTTGTACCATCCATCACAACAAATGGCTAAAAATCAAGATTAAATGCCTAAGTTTGGCTTTCAAGAGATAGAAAGAAATAGAAGGAAAGTAACAAAGAGGGAGCATGAGATAGAGTTGGGTCTACTAGGGCTTGATTTTCGAAACTCTTGGGAGTAATTTAAGAATGGTTCTACCTAGCTAATTAAGTCTGTCATACTCCCTCATCTCCCTTTCTACATATTTCAAACTAGGTTTTGGGATTTGGGGGATGTTGATTTTTTTTACAGTGACTTCTTGGTTGAACCATTAGTTCCAATGAGATTAATGGGAGTTGTTTTAAGTTTTTAAACCTAAGGTTAGGGTTTTTTTGAGGATATGTGTGGATGCTCAAGTATGAGTGAACCCTATGTAGTTTAATGTTGATTTTGTAATGTTGGGGTAATAAATATAATGTTGTTAAGTTAATGGAAGTTGAATGCATTTAATGAGAGAAAATGTACTTATTGGTTCTAAAAAAATCCAAGAGATTGGGATTTTAGGTTATGTGAAAATTAAAGTGTTGAAAATGGTTTAGATAGATGACATTGTAACTATTGTTGTTGCTAATTGTAGAGTAACTACATTGAGCACCATTTGAGCTCAATTCTAGTTTAGGAAGCAAGTTTAGTAGGGGCAACCTTTGGTGTTCCGAAGGTTTAAGGTAACCAAAAGAATCTAAATCATGTATTATTGTTTGTTTGATTAATTATGGGATGTTGTGAATATGTGAATATATTTTCATAACTAAATTGATATGTTTTATAGTCTAGAAATTTACAAATGTAAATGTAGATTTTAGAAATAGTTGATAAAGACTTATATAATAATGAATATGATTTGTATTCTAGGAAACATAATTGGTAGTGTGGCTTCTCATAAAAATTAGTAAAGTGATGATAGAAGTGATGACAAATTATTGAAAATGATGATTTTAAATATGATGAGATCGAATGAGATTTTGCAACAATGATAATGATCACTTGAAAAATGAGATATGCTATATGTGTCAAGTATGTGATTGTCTGCATAATCATGATTGATAGTGAGAGTTCGCCATGAGAGAGAGGAGTGTATTGAGTTTATGTGGATATTACTAGCATCATGGGTGGCCACTATAACCTCCTCCAATATCCTCCAAATATAGGAGAAGATTAACAAAATCATCATGTCAAATACACTAATTAGTAATCAAATATTTCATTTGAAAAGATTGGGTCCAAGACTCATTTGCAAAATTATTAAAACCACAATGTATTAGAGCAATACGCAACGAAAATAAATCATATACATCCATCTCAATCATTACATGCATTAAAAATCACAAAATCAAGATGGAAAATACGAGCCATGTGTTGTGGTGTGCAATACATGTGCCACGGCATGTGGCACAGAGCCACATGTCTAATTCTCTATGTCATGTACCGTGACATGTGACACCATGCTTTGTGACATGCCATTTCGAATTTTTTGATAGCAAAAATGACAATCTTTCAGCATGCACGGTTTTCACATGCGACGTTCGAATTAGAGTAATTCAAGTGCCCACATGAACTTTATCTCATAAGCTAGCTAATTAGATAAGTTTGGACACAATTTAATGGTTCTATTAAAATTTGAGCACTCGGGTGCAGAAAGTCACTTTTTCTAAAAATTTTGTGCACCCAAGTGTTCAAATCAATCCCTTTCTCTTATAAGATCACACGAGGCTTTGAACTAAGTCCAAAAAAACCTATTATACCTAATTAACCACAACATAACTCATATATATACATATATCAAAATTTGACCCCTCAACGACCAATTTCCACATTTCTCAACTTTTCACAGTTTATTACAATTTAGTAGAACTCTGCCTATTTGGCCCTTTTCTCATCAAAATTACATCTATCCATATTCATAATATAATCACAACTCAATCTTAGCCTCAAATTACTCATTTCATCATAATTTCACATATGGGTTAAGATTCACCATTATTGCTACAATTTCTATAATTTTCTTACTTTTCACCACTCACAATCATTCAAAATATTTATGCAATCCTATGGCAACTTATCTACACATATATACACAAGTTTTTAGTTCATTACACAATCCTTTGAGTTCACACGACTTCAACAACTTTAAGACAGGCTTGACTCTTTTTCCTTGTCCTGGTCACTGCTTTATCCTGTAAAATGTAACTATAGGGGTGAGATAAAAATCTCAATAACAAAATAACTCATTTCTATTGACTATCACATGAAACTATATAAAAGTAAAGCATAATATATCATTTAACATAACATATATCACAAGTTTCACTTAAATCACATCAATGCTTCACATTTTACCTCTTTTCACCACTTTACTAACACAAGCAACATGCAGCATGATCACTACCGATTGGACCTCCAAATCACCCCAACATGAAATTATAGGCTCGTCTTAGACTAATGTACACTCTCATGGGCCTTGAACTCACCTTTAATGGTAGAATCACTCAACTAAAGGTGTTCTGTTTCACTTTTAAATTATAGTTTCCCTTAATACATACAATAGGGTTACTTTAACCCTTTTATTACTAAAAAGATTACCTATCGATTTCAACTACCATAATAGCTCTTCATAAAATTCCTTCCTCGACTCACACGCGCTATAAGCCAATCTAAACACAATTGGTACAATTTAGTCAATTGGTCCAATTTGACCAAAAGTATAAAATTACTATTTATGGCTATATCTAGCCATATATTCTTTTTCATTTACCCAATCTAAGTCCATTACTCCCCGATTACTACTTTACATCACTTTAACTGGTCTTATTTTACTTAAACACAATTTTCACCTTAAAATCTCTTTAAATTAGGGCTAAATTGAGTATACAAGTTCAAAGCTTTATGACTCAGCTCTAAACCAATCATAATGTTCAAGTTTAACTCTTGAGAACCTTTTTATTACTATTAAACAAGAATCAAACCTCTAAAATTTCACCGATTTAATTTCTCTTACTCGCTAAGTTACTGATTAGAAGCACCTTTCACGATTCTAAAATATCTTGCCCTAGCACACCAGCCCTTCTTCTCTTCTCCTTTCATGTGTTTTCAAAATTTCCTCTCTGAGATTTATCTATGACTTATGGGGTCATTTTCTGGTCCATGCGTCGTAACTCATATAGCACAAGCCACAGCGTGTGGCATAGTAATAAAAATTCTCACTACGCGTACTTGTTTTGACTTGAAATACAATCTTTCCACCTACATCTGTATATACAATATCACAACAAGTCAATCTATTAAGTAATCATGCAAATATCTAATCCCACACTAATTATCACTTTACTCTTGATTAACAGTTAATCATAGAATTAAGAAATTCAAGATGTTACAGCCATGCTATTTGGTCTAAGGTTAGGTATTCCTTACCGTCACTCGAGAGTAGGTGTGAGGTAGGTTGCCTAGACCCCTAGGCTCTTAACATCACCTTAGATTGGGTGTAGGATAAGGCTAACAACATCCTAGAGATTTGATAATGGGAGAATTTATGGTTCGTGAGTGAATATAGCACCTTTGGCTAAGGAGCTCCTCACAATTGATGAGCTTGAGTTAGTCTATTTATATAAACGCATCCCCATTTAATTTAATAGCCTATGAATTTAATCAAAGGTATCATGAATGATTAAGGAGGTTATTGATCATACATCTTATTGAATGTTATGATATGATTGATAATTATGAAATTGAATGTTTTATATTTCCCCCTTTTCATGCCTATGATTGATTGAATTGCATATGCATGTTTTGGAGTATTCTAGTTATAGAGTTGTTGTACTCACCTATCATTTAATATTTTATTGGCACACTATCTTTGGATAGGACAAATGGAAAGGACTTGAGGCTTAGGACTTGTGATTCCTACTATAATGCCTCATTATTTTGATTATATATGTATTTATAATGATATTTCCAACTAGGTTATATGTTGTGACACTCACACCATTTGTGTCTCTTTTGTGCTTGATCGTATTTTAAACCCTAGGTTACATATGGTATGTGATATACTTGATGTACAAGGCCAAAATATTAGTACCAGTGTGTTAGTTGTTATTTTCCAAATTGGGGTCAATTATTTTAAGAAAGCATATTGAGAAACCTCCCCTTATTTATTATATTTGATTAATATATGGTGTATTGTATAGATTATCCCAAGTCTCTTAAATATGGTGTAAGTGTTAAAATAGGCTTTTGGCACTTGAGAATGAGTTTTAGACACTTTAGTTGTGAAAAAGTGTGGAAATTTGCATGATTAGTTCGGGTTTAGGTGTCCAACTTTTAGGTATAAAATAATTTTAAAATAAAACTAGTGCCATCAGATAGTTTTCTAAATAATCTTTTTGTAAGCAATAAGATCTCCTCAATCGAACGTCAAATGAAGATTTGGGGCATGCTAAAAGTTTGGGCCCCACATCTAAATTTGACAACAAAGTGCTATCATTAAAACTATGTTGAGCTTCATAATAGAAGGCACCTTTGCCATGGCCCACGTCATAGAGGAACGTTGGCCATGATGCATTAGTCTTTA